GCTGAGAAAAAGGAACTGTTGCCTCGGCTGATAAACGAAGGAGTCGTTGAGAGGAAATCCCTGGGATAACTGTGGCTGTAACACAATGTGGAGGGACACACTTTCAGTTAGGCCCTGCTATTAGTCCATCATTAGCCTAAAGCGGCCACAAGATTGAAAGAGACTTAGCAAACACAGTGGCAGATAACAAATGACTAATCTTGTGATTAAGACCCACTGGTTACCACCCACTTAGCGTCAGAAGGAAGCGGACATGCTTCGAATTCAAATGCGTGATCGTAGAGTGGGATGACTTTGGAGAAAGACATCAACTAATTAAAAATGCGACATTAGTATGACCCGAATTTTGTACATTGTTCTGTGTTTTTTCCGGATCGAGCGTTAAAGATTTTTTAGTAATCCCCCAAAAATTGAGTTGAGGCCAGTTTTCAGTTACTGAAGCAAATCAAGTCTAACGTTTCAGTCAAGGCCAGAATCTCCTCTGTAATTAAGACTCGGTGTTTAGGTCTCAGTAGCCTGACGATATCTGCGGTTTTCAATAAAGATGCTAGTGAGTGAGGATTTAAATCTGTCTCCACATACTACACAGATTCAAATTGGGCTGTTGCTGATAAAAATCAGTCTGGAGCATTAGCTCAGATTGGGCAGAGCATTTGGTTTGGGCATCGGGTTGCTGTTATCATGCAGGGGCTGCTCCGATCCCTCCACAACCTCGGGGCAAAGGTCACCAGGTTCAGACAGAGGTTCGGGTCAAGCGAGCAGGTTAAACACCTTGTCGGGGGATTAGCGGGCTGGGAGGGAGGTGGAGGAAGTCTTCATTGGCTAATGTCCCCCTCCGCAGCTCACTGACCAACCCCAGGACACACACACACACACACACACACAAACACAAACTTACACATGCTATCTAACACTGGCATGCACCCACAATGCATTTACTCGGCCTTTGTTGGCCAACATGGGCTGATTTAAAAGACCTGACACAGTGAGTGCTCAGATAAGACCACCGCTGTCTGGAGCACGGCAGAAGTCACAGAGGAAGGAGAGCATGTCTAATTGAGACGTTACTGGGAGTCGCACGCACACGCAACCACACACACACACACACACACACACACAAGGAACAACAACAGACACAGACACCTCAAGTACAAGACAGTATTGATTTTTCCTTTTGTCATAAGAATCTGAAAAAGGAGCTAAAATAAAGTCTGGCTGAAACTTCAAACTTTTAAAAACAGTCATATGCAAATGAAAAGCATTGTTTATTAAGATTCTAAAACTCAGGTTTCGTGTCAGAGGGTTTTGTTGATCCATTGACTTGTTTTTATATTGTGTAAATGAAATAGTCTTGTTGTCCATTTAAATACATCACCTTGTGCATAAAGAAAGCTCAGGAGAGCATGAGCATGCAAATATCTGCACATTACGGTTAAACACAGCGATATGATGAGAATCGGCCTTTAGGATGGATGTCCGCGCCCCAGCGTGTGTTTGTACCTCTGTGAGGTGAAGAGCAGCCTGAAGAGTCTGACGCCTGCTCCAAGGACGGACAGGAAATAGACGGCGGGGCGATGGCCTCCAGTTCATCGAACACGTGAGAGCGACTACAGCTGACCTCCGAGTAGCGCGACGCCGCTGTGCCACAGCGTCCTGCAAGAGCACAAGAGTGGGCGTGTTGTGTTATGACATGATAATGTTGATGATGATGAGGGTTGGATGGAACATTAATGATTCACGTGGGCTGATGCATTAGGAAATAATATAATCGAAATGCAAAGAAGAGGTGAATGAATGACTCTGAAACCAACTGGGAGAACTGAAGGTGAACAGTGAACCAGGGAAAACATTCAAAAAAACAATATCGTCTTATTTAAATATGATATAATCTAATGTTTTCTTAACCAGACTGTTTCAAGGATTACACAAAATTCAACCAAGGACCTAAGGATGCCTTGCATTACCACAACAGTCCTCAGCTCAACTTGAAATCTAAAGGCCAATAAAAAAAATTGTTGTCTTAGGATACTCCCTGACATCTGACCTTTATTTCATTTATGAACAATCTGGGGTGTTGAGACTGTGGGAGGGGCTGAGGAGACATTGTTGTAAAGCTGAGTGACATCTTTCTCTCTCCTTTGGAGAAATAACGACTGTCAGACACAAATAATTAAAAAAGACAAATTGCAGTTTATCCTCTCGTGTTGTGATGTCGGTGAATCTCAGGGCCACAGGCTGGATCGTTGAGACGCAGTGACATCAGATGAAAGATCTCGGCTGGGTGTTGTTGTGGGTTTAGTTAAATCCTGTCTCTTACAGGTTTTACACTCTGACAAGTGGACAACACCCAAAACAAACCCCAGGACCTCCAGGAGTGAGTCTGAGGACGGCGTCACGGTCACACCTTCAGGGCGAAAGTAGTTTCACCTCACCTGCGGTAAACACTGAGCGACAAACTCTGCACCTAAGCCCTAATCAGCACAGTGAAGTTACTAATTAGTTATCTCCAAACCAAACTATTCCATTCTTCCTGGGTTTGAAATTGGAGGATTAGCGAGTGACACAGTTTGACCGGGTGGTGTGTTTTGTCACCGGCCTGAAAGAGGCTTGTTGAGGCTTTTCTCACATTAGAAATGCAGAGCAGCTTGTCCCGGACAAAAGGATAATATATACAGAGGCTCTAAAAGGAAAAAAGGCAAACTCAGCTCCGTGGTTGAGTCTGCCCACATGGGCGAGTACACATGAAGCCACCCTCACACCGTCGAGTGTGTGAGAAGCTACACACACACACACACACACACACACACACACACACCACCGCAGCAGCATTGTGCACTTGAGCGGCTCCGCACTCTCCTCCAAGAGACAATGGAAGGACTTGACTCGACACTTCAAAGCATATTGCTGCTGTCAACTCAGCTGTCATTCTCAGCCGACGAGGGGCTGCACTGAGTCAGGGAGAGTTTTTCGGGGAGGTTAAGGGTGGTGGTGGTGGAGTCAGGGACGGACAAGGACTTCTCTGTTCGACCGTGGCCCTCTTATCCCGGTCACAGCGCCGCGCTGAAAGACCCAGAGCGGAGAGGCCAGGCCAGGCCAGGCCACTGCCCCCCCCTCACGCCATTGTGAGGGACAGTGACACTCCGGAGATGTTGCTGAAAACAGATCAGCGCAGGGTCACGCTGAGGATCACAGGGGGATCTGAGAAAACGATGCAGGGGGTCACAAGGGCCGAGTGAGATGAGGAGACTCCCATCAGCCTCTGGGGGTGTGTGTGTACAGTACGGATACCACACAGGGTTAAAATAATACCTGATCCCCTGCGGCTGATGCAAACCACCTAATTTACTGAGAAAACTTTCAGTAAACTTTTCATTGCCCGAATTAGATCTGGGAATTTGACCAAGTCAGTTCAACAAGACAAGAAACAAGCAGAAACACTATCACACAGGTTTTGAGGGCTTTCAGACTGAAGAGGAAAAGTACACGTTTCCATCGACATCGGCCCCAACCGCCGTTAAAATTGAGCATTAAAAGGATCAGGGGCAAAGATAACAGATGCATCAGGTAGCAGTGAGGCACAAACTATATGATCCAAGAAGATTTTTGATAAAGAGAAAGTTTGAGGAATGTTTAACTTCAACTGTAGCTGTAAAACTTTTTAGTTCAATCGAGGAAAGATGCAACCACAGAAGTGTTTTTTTGTTGTCTGAACCTGAACCTGTTTGCTGGAGCACTCCACATCGGCTGATTCAGCACAGCGGTCTGGACGTGGCCCTAAAGGAGCCCACTCACAGTCAATAGACCGAGTCAATGCAGCATTATCACTGACATTTTTCAGTGAAGATCTGGATAAACCGTTAGCATGTTTACAATCTGTCCGATGTCAGTTCTGTGTGTTGTTATCAAAACTGATGGGAATGATGGTCGAAACTTAAAAACCAGATCAAAGTTGTAATAAACCAGACTTATCCTTATCCGAGCTCCACATTGAGCTTGAACCGCCTCCATCTGTGCTCAAATAAATGAACCAGTGACACTCGCTCTGTCTGCCATGAACAGAACAGCATGGGCCCCCCTGCAGCACAGCACCACACAGGGAACAGTAGATGTCTCTGATAGAAAAGAGAAAATCCCTACACAATTTCCACATTGTTTGCTTTCTTTCATAAAGTTCCTGCAGGAGTCAGATGTCAGTGGCCCCGTCCTTTATCCCCATTGGGGACGGTAAATTAGTGGCCGCAGGAAAGCCGCGGAGGTATTGTGGATCGGAGCTATTGTGGAGGTGCTGTGCCGTCAGCGAGCGGTGGTCAGTGTGGATTTATGACCATCGGCAACACGTCTCCCTCGCAGAGTGCAGAGAATAGTGAAGGCGTGGAGGAGCCGAGGCTGAGGGGCACGGCACACGAGGTAGGGACCCCGACTTCTATTGTTGGGGGCCTCATGCTTTTGAACAAGGAATCAAATGGTACCAGCTTTTCATCAAAAGCCCTCCGCTCTATTGATGATTTAAAGGAAAAAGAAAAGCTCTATGCGTTATTTATTACGTGGTGGGAGGAGGTGGGAAAACAGGGACGCTTTCACAATGTGTTGATGGGGCAGGAGCATCTTAACGCCTCGCTTTAGAAACAGGCTTTGATTTCTCTGTGTCTGGCCCGGGGGTCTTTGTTTATGTGAGGATGTCCAGCCGTGTTCAGGACAATCGGGCTTGTAAGAATGTGGGCAGGAGCCTAGCGCCGGGCAGGGAGGAGGCTGCGAACCGTCCATATGTGGCAGAGCTCATTTCTCACCTCTGAAGGGGGAGATGGGAGGCAGAACAGGCCAGCGGGCGGAGTCCAGCCGACTCAAAGGAGGGGAAGGGGTCAGATCTGCCACTGACCCTGAGCGGGGAGTGGTCGTCTGTGGACTTGGGCAGGAAGACCAGGTAGCCGAGGGGAACGCCAGCGTGACAAGGCCACGGTCTGAGTCCAAGGACGGGTAAAGATCTGCGGAAGCATCCTGCTGGAGACTCTTTGTGCTTCTGCGACCGCTCAGAGGTTTGCCTGAGTTGAGGCGGAGGCCTGAAGTCGGGCGGGATGAGAGTGGTTTGGTTTGGCCGAAGAGCGGCTCGCAGAGTGGAGGGTTGGTGGTGGTGGTGATGTTCATAGAGGGTGGAGGAGGGTTGGATCCTGCTGGAGGGTGAGAAGGCAGCAGAGGTAACTGCATCGCTGGTGAAGGTGGAGAGGAACAGCCGCAGCCCTCTGGGTCTAAGTCCCTGGTAACTGCTGCTGAAAGACAAAAGAAAACTGTGACTTTACTTCTATTCTTTACCTGAAATGATAAAATCAAGTGTGTTATCAAAAACTCACAGCTCAGAACATCAGTTCTGGGTAAAAAGAGCAAAGTGCAAGTCTCAGTTTGCAGCTAAGTATATTCTTGTTTGATAAACGGCTTTAACATAGAGATTATCAAAATAATAGATTCTTCTTTAATGCACTAATTCAAGTTGAGCCAGCGGGCGCCCAACATACAGAGGGTGGCAGGTTCGGTTTTCAATGATATGTGTTACTTCACAAATATAAGGATTTGATGTTTTTCTCTTTGGGTTTTGAGTAAAAAAATGATGAATATAAAGATCGTGATCAGTTATTTAAAAGAAAATCAAAAGCATGTATGAGAAAAAGGTTTCAGGGGATGTTTTACCAGACAGGACACTGCTCCTGCCGCTGGTTAGGTTTGTGCTGCGGCTGAATAAACTGGAAGGTGGACGACTTAGATCTGAGAGCGACCCGTGTGAGAGGGGGGGCGGTGACGCTGAGCGCTCGGACCCAACAGGCCTGAGCTGCAGCTCTGAGTCCGGCTCGTTGACTGACGCCACAGCTTCCTCCCTCTCCTGAGATTTATCAACCTCCTCTGGAGCAGGGGGGGAGCGGGAGGGAGACGCTGGCACTGTGTTGGGTTTAGGCTTTTTTCTTCCAGACGCAGGGTGGAGGGCGTATTGTTGGGGAGGGGTTGGATTAATGGTGGATGGCGGTGGGGTGACAGGGAGCGGGGGACAGGGAACAACAACAGCAGAGCTGCGTCCTGCGTTCAGGCCCTCGCTCTGCACAACGTCTCTTCTTCTCTCGGGTCTGAAATGGAGGCATCCTGCAAAAAAAACCAAAAACACAAAGACAAAAAGTGTGACTGAGCATTTTATTCAAAGTGTTTTTCAAAAACTCAAACTGGTCCAAGAACATCTTTCTGTTTCAGCCTCTGGACCTAATAAAAGCCACATTTCTGCCTCTGAATGGTCAACACAGCGCAGGTCATCCCTAAAGCTGCTCGTGACATTTTCTTTCCCACTTCCCTCAGTGCTGCAGCAAACACTTGTTTCCCTGCTGGGCGGGTCGGCGCGCTGACAAAGGCAGCGAGAAATGGTCCCGCTGGAGCAGCTGGCTGTTTCCCAACCCGGTATTCACAGAAGTAATCAGAGCTGTGGGCAGGGGGAGCTCGCTTATATACACACCACAATTAATATGAGATGGAGACGTCAGTTACAAGTGTCTTAGAAACACGTTCAACAAGTGTAGAGGTGACAGATTGAGCGGTTTGGGTTATTTTCTTTTTGAATTCATGGGTATCATGTTTAATTTTGAGAGGGTCGTGATAGAGACCTACACTAAACTCTACTGACTCAGACCCTCACTCCTTTAATTGGAAACATTTTATTATAAATATGGAGATTTGTTGTTTACTTTCAAATCATTATTCGGTCAGCTCTGTTTTAAAAAGTCTTCTTTTAACAATAACATTACATCTACTCACACAAAGCTTTGGCAAGACTTGGCGGCCGTTATTGCTGAAACTGCTGGTGGACGTCCAGTTAATTATCTCTAGGTTTTCTTCTGCGTTTGTTAGTTAGCAGGATTACGCAAAAACTACAAGACAGATTATCATGAACCTCAGTGGAAGGATGCTGGAATGAGAGTTTGGATTAACTTTAGCGTTGCTGGTCTGTTCTTCAGATTAGATTTAATCATCCCGATCCGAGATGGTTCTCTTCATAATTTGTGCCGGTAAGTGGCTTCTTAAAGGGGCTGTTGGGCCCTGGTGGAGGTATGTGTGGTATAATAAAGATTTGCTTCATTTGACTTCATTTAACTTTTCCCCCAAAAAAAAACAAAGATACAAAACAGACTGAAGCCTTTTTTTACATGTAATTCTTGCTTGATAATGTTTGCTATGTTCCAGAGCCACGTTTAATCTCTAGAAAATGCATCAGAACGCCCTCGACGCAGTGTGAAGTTAAACCCTCCTTTCTAAAGCATGTGCAGCACTGTTCTATCCTTCTGTCTCTCTAACACTCATTATCTCTCCTTCTCCAGCTCCTCTTTCTAACTACACGTTTCCTTTCATCCCTCTCAGATTCTCTTCCACAAACATCAACTCCATCCAGCACCGCCCATTTCCCTTTGGCCTTCTCCATTCTTTTACACTCCCCTTCTTTTCTCTCTCCTCCTATTTTTTTTGTTGACCACTGTGAGGGTGTGAGGGAGGGGTGCGGAGGGCTGGAGGGTGTCAGACAATCTGCTCTTGTTTCCTGGGGGTCTGCCGCCGAGAGGAGTCAGCACAGGGGATAAAGAGAACGCACTGGAGAGCACATTTCTGCACAGCCTCCTCTTACAATGCTCCGCCATCCCCATCTGTTACACACACGCACACAGTGCACGTGAACGGGTGCATGTGTGTGCTGATGTGCATATGAATGACATGTGTCAGTGCGCACGGCGTTGGGCGCAGCACGTTTCTGCAGGGAGCAGGGTTAAGGACGATTGTGAAGGAGCCGACCACCATATGGTGGAATAATTAGTATTAGAAATACCCCCCTCCTCTGCTGTGTGTGTGTGTGTGTGTGTG